CCAAAACCAGAAAATTGTCATTTAGCAACACTCGCCGACGATACTGGTTTAATTACAGTGGAAAAAAGTATTGAACAATCAACAGGAAAACTGCAGAACGCTGTCAGTGAAGTTCAAAATTGGAACAAAAAATGGCGAATAAAATTGAATGAAACCAAATCAATTCACGTTGATTTTACAAACAAAAATGTAAATCACATACAAATCACAATTAATGACACCCCTATACCATATTCAAATCAAGGTAAATATCTTGGTATGACGCTTGATGCGAAATTGCGCTGGAAAGCACATGTTAAGAAAAAAAGGCAAGAGCTTGAATTTAAGAATAGAAAAATGTACTGGTTAATTGGAAGGACGTCCAATTTAACCATACATAACAAGTTACTGCTTTATAGGCAAATACTGAAACCAGTATGGGCATATGGCATTCAACCACAGCTTTTCAACTTTGGGGTTGTACTAAAGATAGTAACATACAAGTTATTCAAGAAACATTGTTAATGCACCTTGGTACGTTCGAAATAGTGATCTACATCGGGAACTAGGAATTGATACTGTAACAGAGACTATAAGAAAGTACGCAAAAAGCCATGAAGATAGACTACATCGGCATGTGAATGTGGAAGTGATTGAGCTCCTAGAGAACACTGATCTAGTTAGAAGACTGAGAAGGGTGAAGCCGTTCGAGCTAGTGAACTGAAATTGAAAAACACAACAAAATAGTGCTATTAACACATCAAAATTGTGATTTACAGTTTAAGCAAAGTGGTGAAAACTGTTGAGTGAACCTCAAGAATTGTAAACTTTATAGTAAACTAGCTGAACCGGCGAACTTCGTACCGCCTATGAATTATTAAACACCTATTAAATGTTGTTAACGTATCTTAGTAGCTGAATTAAATTCAGTTTTTTTCAATGGTGAATTTGGCCTTGGTTGAAGAAAACTAATGTTTACTCTCTGGATCAGAAATCACCTAAAATTAAAATTTCACGTCGTTTGGCTATTGATTTCAAATAGGGTGCCTCGCTTGGATCATAATCGCTCTCGGAGCACTTCCGCAGAGATCTGTGATGTGACCGCCAAAATAGAGAGCGCTCTAGGAGCAGTAAAGCCGAAAATGCTATAAGATAATACTGTTACGTCGGTTGAATGGAATAAACAAAAATAAGTTGAGTTATGTAGTGGTGAGAAGCAAGAAAAAATTTAAAAAATTTGGGGTGGACCACCCTTATCACTTAGGAGTATAAAAAATAGCCTAAAACCTATTCTCAGACCTACTGAATATACATATAAAATTTCATAAAAATCGGTAAAGCCGTTTCGGAGGACGAAGGTAACTAAAACTGTGACATGAGAATTTTATATATTAGATTAGGTTAAAACAAAATCGCTAATTAGTCTTACTGACTATATTATAATGTAATAAACACAATGTGCTTGACAAATAAAAAAAAATAAACCTAACAATCCCTCAGTTTTTTTTTGATTTTCTCAAAAACTAGAGGAGCACCTAATTTTTAATTAGAGGCCCTAATTAGCACCTAATTATTATATAGATCCCGAAGTTTTTCTGCCATTCTGACACACCAACATGTAAACGTAAAGCCAGCAGTCCCCTAATAATTAAAAAAAAAATCTGTAACTCAGTTAATAATTAATCAATTCTATTTTTTCTTGGACTATTTAGGAGCACCTAAAAAGCACCTAATTCTGATACAAAGAAAAAATTTGATAAAATATTTTTTTCTATAGGGGACTGCTAGCTTTTATAAAACTAGCACTCCCTTAGTTTTTTTTGATTTTCTCAAAAACTAAAGGAGCACCTAATTTTTAATTAGAGGCCCTAATTAGCACCTAATTATTATATAGTTCCCAAAGTTTTTTTCCACCTTGGGACTGCTAGGTTTATAGACCTGTTCTGATGTGGTTTCGGGATTACTTGAATGGTAGAACCCAGTTTGTTGCTTGCAGTGGTGAAAGGAGTGCTATTGCAGTCCCGCAAGGCTCTATCCTTGGATCGTCTCTATTCTTGGTCTACATAAACTCCATTTCACACCTTTTACTACGTGGAGAACCATATTTATATGCAGATGATACATGCCTATTATATTGTGGTAGGAGTCCGGTTGTAATGAAAGATGCCATTGAGCGAGACTTGGAGACAGTGAGTGACTGGTTATGCTTTCATAAATTAACTTTAAATATAGAAAAATCTTGGTAAGTACATGGTTATTTCCCAGAGTGATGATTGGCCGGACTTAGTGATAACATTTCAAAACCAATTACTACAGCGCAGTTATTGCATTAAGTATTTGGGACTTTACATTTTGTGTAAAAAAATCGCACCAGCAGTAGGTATCCTAGGCAGAGTAGCATAATTCTTGCCAATATTACATCGCAAAATGATTTACAATTCTCTAATACATTCCCGCCTGTCATACCTAACACTGCTGTGGGGAAATGCGTCCAACAATAAATTACACCCATTGTGTGTCCTGCAAAATAGGGCTATTAAGCGCATATTCAATCTGCCTTTCCGTTTTCCCACAATTGATCTGTATAAACCCAACAAAATTTTGGATATATACTCGCTCTATATTTATCAATCCTGTATATTTCTTTATCGCTGCAAATCATCGACTGTACAGACATCAATCATACTTACTCTGAGAAGCATGATTCATCATTATGGCACGAGAACAAGAGAAGATTTCAGAACATCTGCCATGACCACCACCACTGGACAACGTAGCAGGGTTGGCAAAAATCATGATTTTTTTGAAAAAATCAAAAAAATCAGATTTTTTTGATTTAAATCAGATTTTTTGATTTAAATCGGATTTTTTTGAATTAAATGGCTTTATTAACTTTTGATCAATTATTGGTAATTTAGTTTCAACAATGATTAATGAATGATGCAGTAAATATAGTATACCTACTCCTAGACAAAATTACTGCACCACAGCACCACAAAAGCAGTGGTACGATAATTTTGTCAACGAGTATATAATAAGAATAGGTATATAGAGTAATAAAAATATTATTGTTTATTAATAAATAAATAGTTTTAACAAACAAAATAGTAAATAAACGGTAATTTCTGAAAACAAAAATAAAAAACATAAATAAAAATATTCGATAGGTAGAGGTGTAGATAAGGTACCTACCTATCTATTACCCTGCCCCTTAAACTTAGTGCATAAAGAGAAAAAAAAAATCAAAATAAAGTAAATCATTCTTTTGTGAGAAATTAAAATAATACTACTTATATAAAAAAAAATATTCCGATTTTTTAATATACCAGCTTTGCAGGCTTTTCATTGCCAAGTCGATTTCTCAAATCATTATCGCAGATTATAATATGTATGTTGAAAATATTCTCTATATACTCTCTCTACCCCAGCCGAGGATGGTATTGCAGTCAGAAATTTCTTAATAATCACTAAATCCTCTTTGATTATCCCATTTATATAAGTATATGTATCAAAATAAACAAATAGATTTTCAATTTCTGAAAATCGATTTAAATCATTGATTTTTTTCAAAAAAATCACTTGATTTAAATCATGATTTAAATCGTTATTTAAATCATTTGATTTAAATCATGCCAACCCTGCAACGTAGTGTTCTCTGTGAGGGTTTAAGATACTTTAACATGATTAGTCCACAAATTAAAAACAGTAGTTTTTTTAAACCGCTTTAAATTCTCCCTGAAAGGTCTTATTTTTGATAACTTTTTTGCAAATATGTAATTAGAAAGTATGTTTATTTATAACTTGTTCTGCGTGGTTTTTTGATAAGAGCCCCACTGCTACTTTGTACTGTTTTTAGTACAGTAGTGTCGCGATAATCCGATCCCGCGATAATCCGTATGCTTCTGTAATCCGCATCGCATTTCGTTCCCTTGATGTACTCTGTAATCCAGATTTCACCTAATTCAGTAATCCAAATTCATTTACATGACTCTTGAAAATAAAACCACAGCAGTGGTGGGACTCCGTGCCATGTAGAATTCGACATATCGCATGCCGCACAGTGTGCCGAGTCTATAGAATCCTGCCGATATGTAGAATTCTACTTGACATGAAGTCCCTCTTCTTCCAAGCGGTGCAGAAAAATTTAGAAGAAGGTGGACAAAATTCAAATGCTGAAAATAATGTAAACGAAAGTTGGAAAAATATTGACTAGTTATTTTTACACTTATGTACTTACTTACATATTTCGCACTCTATATAGAATAATTTTCTTCATTTGTCCTCTTTTTCAAATAAATATAAAGCTTTTTTATCTAAATACAGCATGTTATTTATTCAAAATTGTTTTAAAAGCGGACTATAAAATGCCTTGGTAATCCGAATAATTTGATAATCCGGATTGGTCTGGTTTTAATTGATCCGGATTATCGCGACACTACTGTATATTTTGTATGGCCCACATAGCTTCAAAGCTCAGGGTCTTTAGAATGTAAGTTTCAATATATCTTGTGAAATATATTAATTAAAATAAAGCAATTAAATAAATAAAATAAAATAAAAATATAATGCGAGGTGAATGAAAAAATTTGTATATTTCAATCAGATTTTGCTCAGGTTTGAAAGGAGATATTTTAATTTTCAGATTTATTTTATCGTAAGGGCCAATGTATTCAGCCTATTTGAAGCAATAACAAAAAATATAATTTGAACAAAAATATAGATAAATTTTATATGAGAACAGTCATAAATTACTATTCTATTAGTTCATGCAATAATCTCAATTTTTAAGTATAGGTACTGCCCTTTTGCCCATTCTGATTTTGTATTACCTTGGGATTTTGAATTACCATAATAATCTTCTGTTGCAAGTTTCAGCTTGTAACCCCGACGCGCCTACAAAACTCATTTTTAGAAGGCTTTAACTGCGTTGGGCACTCTACTATTTACTATACAGACTTAAGGTGTTTTTAAAAATAGATTATTAAAAACAAATTCTGAAATATTTTTTTGTGAAATTTTAGGAAGAGTAAAAGCAGTGCAAGTTTTTGAAGGATTTATAGTAACAGCTTCGAGCACAGGCGAGCTCAAAGTTTGGAGCAGAAAATTGAAAGAAATATGCAAAATTTCGACAGGGTGCAGAATTACATGCCTAATTATCACCAAATGGGCTGGGAAAATTGAAAAAGAAGAAGATGCACAAGTTATCAGTGTTGAAGAAGCGCCTAAAAAGAGACCTGTGAGAGGTAATGTTGTGGTTGAAGTAGACGATAGTTCAGAAGAGTGTGAAAGGGTAGAAAAAGCTGGAAAAAAAAGGAAGAAAGGCCAAGGAGAAAAGAAAAAATCAAAAAAACCCCAAAAAGATGTTGAGGAAATTACAGAAGAGCTAGAAATAGAAAATGTCATGGAACCACAAAAATCAAAGAAAAAAAATCAAAATAATTTGGACCCAACTAAAACAAAGTCCAAGAAAAAAAAGACCAAAACAAATACCTAATAATAATTGTATTTTTGGCTTTTCTTAATAAACATTAAATAACAAAATCTCTAGTTTTTACATTGCGTCATCCAATAAGACAACAAAGGCATATCCTGCTTTTGCACACCCATACTTTTCAACAAATCTGTATTATTTGAGTTTGGAGCCCAACCAATTACACATGCGATATTGTGCCACTGCATTACAAGGCTTGTTAGATGAGATTCTAAGGCAGCTTCTGGAAGATTTTCATCTTTCAATGCATTTTCGATTAATGTCATTAAAGTGGGCAATTTGTTTGGAAGCGTTCCATGCCAACTCAAGATGTATGAGCTAAAAATAAGTAATAATGTAATGTTGAAACATATAATGTTGCATTGATATTTACTCATTATTTGGTTTTAATAATTTGCATATATCTCCTGTTTTAGGAAGAATAAATTTCTTTGGTAGCAGCTTTCTAAAAATAGACTCAATTTTGGTATCTTCTGATTCAACTTTAATACCAGTCAAGTAGCAATAACATAGTTTACAGAAAACTTCCTACAACCATACATCTTGGTATGAAAAAAAAAAAAAAAAAAAATTGAATGGCTCTTACTTGAGGCATATTTTTATAAATCTCTCTCAAATTACCTCCATGTAATTCCACAGGTATTTCTGGTGGTTTGAAAGGCTTCTCCACAGAAGTTTCTGTACTTAACAGCCAAGTGAACCACAAATGAATATGAGCAAACACTGCAGGTTCACCTGTCAGTTGCCCCAAAGATCTTCCAGTACAAACTGGAGAGACTTGTGCTTGTCTTACAGCCCTTTGTGATATATGTGTTTGTTCAATATTATTAATTTTCACTGATTTGTCTTGTAAATCTTTAGATATTTCCCTGATATGTTTAGTAAGGAATGACCAACAATTAAGTAAATGAATCTTGTCCCTCATTAGCATCAAAATGCAATACTTTCTTTGAAACCCTCTAGCTAAAGAGTCTTGTATAGTGAATACATGACTTATAACGTGGCCCCTCTCATTATCACCAAAATATATTGTGCCCCCATCTGAGCTAGTTTCTTCGCAGCTCAAGCTTCTAACTGCTGCCTGCTTTAGGAGCAAAGCTAAATCTTGCTGCAATGGTGTTCTAGTTGTAACATAGCATGTTGTATTATCTTTGCTCACCATAGCCTGTTTGAGATCCAGGGAGTAACACGCTTCACATACAGGCACAGTGAGAATGTGAGGAAACTGTTGCGGCTCCTCTTTACATCGTTGAGTACACAAAATAATACAGGGGCCGTGGGTTTCACAAAAATGACCCAGAGCTAAGATACCGTCCATAATTTGATTGTGATACTTATGAAGTTGATTTGGTTAATTAATAATTGCGAATTGATTAATTTCGGGATACAACTTACCAGTATTGATGTAAGAGGAGATGGAATCATGGAAACATGAAATAAGTAGGAAAAAATATAAAATAAATTGGTAAGAAAATAAAACGTAAGACGTAAAGGTAAATATAAACAAAGTACATAACCAAATAAATACACATTCACATTCTTCTTTTTTATGTCAGTACCTAGGGAGGGGCTTATCGATATATACATCCTCGACGATGGTGATTGTGAATATGGCGATCAGACATGCAAGAAGGAGCTTCGATTTCTCTCCTCAGTCTCAATCTGAATAAATCAGAAATATCGTATCGATAGTAATATCCTCACATATCGATATAAAAAAAGCAGTGGAGGTTTTGAAAGAATATCGTATCGAAAGCTATGAGTATCAAGATTCAACAATTGACAGATGACAGATGTCTTGCCTCCCGCTGATAACAGTTCAAAGTTTAACCTCAATATTATATTTAATTTTGTTATTTATCAAATTTCCTCTATTTGGAATTATTATTCAAATTACCTTTTAATAATCCAATCCATCCATAATGCCTTCCGATTCTGATAACAGATCCAAGGCTACCAAAAGACCTTACAAAAGTGAGGATGATGAAGATGTAAAAAAACGCAAACGTACAGAAAAAAATGATACAGGTACTGGGAAAAATTCTGAAGCCAGCACCAGTGGTACAAAGAAACTATCGAATAAAGAACGCAACAAAACCCCAGCGTTCAGTAGACTACAGCAGTTGAAAGAGAAAATCAAAAAAGATGTCCTTAAGATTGGAAATAAAGAATCCTTAGAAACGACGCAGTCTTCAGGAGGTACAAAAAGGCCCAGGGCCAGGGCGACAAAACGAGAAGGTCCAAAACAGGATTCAAATTCTCCAAGGTACCCAGCCAAAGATTCAACAAGTATTTCTAAAAATGTTGGAAACGAGGTTGAAAATATCCCTAAAAAGATACACAGTGGCAATAGGATTAGTAACAAAGTAATAATAATAAATTCTAGCTCTGAATCTGAAGGGAACTCGCCTAAGAAAATGTGCCGTCTAGAGAATATTTCTGGAAAACGTGTACCCTCTCATGTACCTGATTTGAAAAGGTAAGATTTGTTTTATTTGCTAGGAATAGCAAGTATCATGTTTTTCTAGCAAGAACGTATAGGACATTCTTTCAGTAGTAGTATAAGCCACCAGGACTGATTCAATATTCTATCTTGAAAATTTCTCGGAAAATTTGTACCAGTGTAAAGCTCGGTGTAAAGTTAGCACTGTTAGCAGTAGCACCCAAAAATTAGTATTTCTTTGAATAAACTCCAACAATATTGAAGCACTGTTACTCCAGAGAATAACTACAAGAACCTTCAAAATCCTCACAAAAATTTGAGCTAGAAAACCTACCATTTTTTTCCAATGTAGTCTCTCCCAGATAGTAAAGTTCGCCTTACAAGTTTAGCACTATGGAAAGAAAGTGGATAAAAAAATTGCAATATTGCCTATTTGACTTCCAATAGAAAATACCTAAATATTTATCTATGTCACACACCTACATTTATAAGGAAAAAGTAATATTTAAAAACGCTGCGCGCATGCCTATGACAGGCAGCATAAAGCTCGAAATTAATGGTGTTATTCCCCCTTGCCCTTCAGACGTCGTAGTGCTAGACTCGTAAGGCGAACTATAGTTCTACCTCCATATTTAAAGAACAAGTGGAGTAATTGTAACTCAACTCTCCCACAAAGGAAAATTACCTTTGGAACTTTCTAAAGTAGAGAACTTCCCAAAATATGACAACACCATGGAAAAAATATGTTTTTTCTGTGACGGGAAAAAAGTAGACTTTTTGTACCTGTTGACAGGGGCAAAAATGTCACTACTTTTTGTACCTGTTGACAGGAGCAAAAATGTCACTTTTTCTCCCATGGGAAAAAAGTGATTTTTTTTCCCACGGGAAAAAAGTAACAGGTACCAGTCAAATTTTTTGCTCGAAGGGAATAATGTATAGATGGAAAATGTTGAGATTTTCCTGTCACAGAAAAAAATAGTGCATTATACATGGGAAAAAAGTAAGATTTTAGTGCTCCCTGTGTTGTCTCCCTCCGCTTTGCGTCGGGAGAAAAACCACACCTCGCGCTAAAATCTAGTACTTTTTTCCCTTGTATAATAAATAACTATTTTTCCTTGGGTATTTCCATATTTCCTTGTTTCTCTCTCGGTTTCTCTTATTGTATATCACCTTCATTTAGGACAGGTGAAGTCGAAGGTGGAGGTATCAATCAACCTTTTCACAAACAGAAATTGACTAAGAGGATTTCTCAGGCAGATTCCTTCTGCTGATTTCTTCATCTTAGATTGTGACATAAACCACCTAAAAATAATCTTTCTATAAATTCCTCGATAAATTCTTTGTCTCTCAGATTGTGTTTTACTTCCCTTTTTGTAGAAAATGTTTAATCAAATGTTCCATAAATACTAATATTAACTTCACCTTTGTCATTCATTAGATATTGTATTTATGTTTATTTCTCGAATTGGGGTACCCACATTGGAAGATTCTGCCGAGGATTCTGCCAACAAAAAAGTTGAAAATATACATTGTATGCTGTAATATTTGAAGCAAGGGGCAAATCACCTAGGAATTCTTTGCCAAAAATGTGGGGAATTTAGAGGAATTTGTGGGGAATTTGAAGGAACTCATCGGAATTTATGAGAATTTGGGGAATTTATAGGGAATTCGGAGAAATTTATTGGAAATTTGTAAGGAATTTATGATGTCACTGAGGTTCACATTCTTATTATAAGAAACACTAATAAATGGATATTAAAAAAAATCTGGTTTTGTGTTGAACGTTGGGCATTCATTTTCATTAAAGAAATTCTCCCAAAATTTCACTTCATGATTTACAGGTCCAAACGAGGGTCCAAATTTAAAAAAATCGAAACAATAATGAGTCCCTACAGTTTTTGTAGGCTGATATCCAAGATTCTTCATGTTATTTTGCACTGGAAAAATTTAAAGTTTTGGAAACATTTAGTTTTTGTAAGTTGATTTCCAAGATTCTTCATATTATTTTTCGCTGGAAACTCGGCTGGAAAAATTTGATATTTTGGAAAAATGAGTTTCTCACCTTCTTCTCCCCATGCAAAAAGTTCCAAATTTTTCTGTTTACTAGTTTTTCAGAAAAACTTTGAAATGTGTGGGACGGTATTTTCAATTAATTTAGTTTTTGTAAGTTGATTTCCAAGATTCTTCATGTTATTATTTTACACTGGAAAAATTTAAAATTTTGGGAACATAAGCTTCTCACCTTCCTCTTCACATGCAAAAAGTTTCAAAATTTTCCCTTTACTAGTTTTCCAGCAAAACTTTGAAATGTGTGGGACTGTATTTTTAATTAATTCAGTTATTGTAGGTTCATTTCCAATATTCCTCATGTTGTTATTTTCTACTCTTCACATGCAAAAAGTTTCAAATTTTTGCTTCCACTAGTTTTCCAGGAAAACTTTAAAATGTGTGAGACTGTATTTTCAATTAATTCAGTTATTGGAGCCTCTGACCTTCCTTTTCCACATGTAAAAAGTTTCAAAATTTTCCCTTAATTAGGTAGTTTTCCAGAAAAACTTTGAATTGTGTGAGACTGTATTAACAATTATTTCAGTTTTTGTAAGTTGATTTCCAAGATTTTTCATGGTGTTATTTTCCATTAGAAAAATTTAAAATTTTGGGAAAATGAGCTTCTCATCCTCTTTACATGCAAAAAGTTATTTTCCCTTCACTAGTTTTCCAGGAAAACTTTGAATTGTGTGAAACAGTCTTTTTTATTAATTCAGTTATTGTAGGTTGATTTCTAAGATTCATCATGTTGTTATTTTCCACTGGAAAAATTTGAAATTTTGGGAAAATGAGCTTCTCAGGTTCCTCCGAGGGTTCCTCTTTACATGCAAAAGCCAAAAAGTTTCAAAATTTTCTCTTCACTAGTATTCCAGGAAAACGTTGAAATATGTGAGACTGTACCTAAGTTGTTTAAAAAGTAGCTACATGACGTGTATTATTCTTGGTATTATACTGTATTAGGTATATTTGTTTTAATTTCCTAAAAATCTTTTTTTTATCAATTAAGTAATAATATCAAATGCGGGTTTAGGTTAGTTCAAACCTCTGCATCCTGGATTACCGAAATCCAATCATTAGTTCTAGCTGAGGTTCTAGCTCTAAAGTCAACTAACGTAACCTTGCATTGGATCCTACTTGATAAACTGCTCTTGTATTTTAACTAAGCGAAATAAAAATAGAAAAAATAAATTTCTTATCATGAGCAATTTCGGGGATTTTTAGGGAATTTGTAAGTGACATTTGTGAGAATTTTGAGAGGAGTTTGGAGGAATTTGCAGGAATTTGGAGGAATTTGCAGGAAATTTAGAGGAATTTGTGGGGTAGCTGGAGACATTTGTGGTAGGGTATTTGGAAGAATTTGTGATAGGGTATCTGGAGGAATTTGTGGGGAATTTGGAGAAATATGCATGAATTTTGAGGAATTATGAGTAAAAAATTCCCCTTTGAAGAATTGTTTGCACAAATTCTGGGATGGTGGTTTTACCCCTTGATTTGAAGTTTGTAAGGACGTATCCGCTATTATTTCTCTTATTGTACTTATACCAACATGAAATAATAGACAAAATAAAAATTCTAGTCCAGAAAAGTGAAATTTTTGGTTGGCTCGAGGGGTAAGTCACAACATATTTAGGTGTACAAGAGATAATATCTTTATGGGAAAGATATCCACAGATTTCCCCAGATTACCTGGGATCCACCCAAGATTTTTTCAGATTTCCTTAAATCTCCCAAGATTTCGCTAGATCTCTCCAGTGACGCTTTAACCTTTCTCTGGCCCGTAGGTCAATTATTTGGTATGGCCTTTCATTAGTGATTGTTTTTTTTATAGGGTTAAATAAAATAATTCAGGCGATTTCAAACTATACTAACCTGGCAGAATATGAAGAAAAATGTTGCCAAGAAGTATTCGGTAAAATCAAAGAAAGGTACTACAAAATGATGGAACAAGAATGCTATATGGTCGGAAGGTCCTAAAAGAAAATGATGGCATTGAGCTTCCAGTCTACCAATCACCACATATGGATGCTGGGGACTAAGTGTACTGATGGGTGCTTCGGAAGAACAGCTGCATGGCTTGGGATCACATCCATTAGCGAGGAAAAGATGCATAAAGGGTTGCAACTCTGAGGAAAATTCGTACCACGTTGCCTGTGCATGTCCTTCAAGCTCCACAACAACAAGGCACGACTTCGTGGTACACTGGACCCTTAAGACACTGCTCAAGTTCCTGGATGCTCTAGAAGAAGCTCAAAGAAACTTACAATTTTGCAAAGCAGCGCAAAGACTAACAGGTTCCTGCTGTAGTCGTTGCCAGTTGCCACGTGCCCGTGCTGCGCTAATGACGCGACGGCGATTCAGCGCAGCTCGATTACTCTAGGGCGTGTTCCGGATTGATGCTCGATGGAGCGAGCGGAGCGACTTCAGAGCATCGTAACGTCAGGCAGTGCACTCTGGCCAAACCAAATGTGCTTGTGCAGTGTGAATTATAAGAATTAAAGAGTATTGAAATATATGCTAGTCCTGCTATTAAACAAGTCGATGTTTTTAGTATAGTGGGCTTTTATATTTTATATTATAAATTGAAGGCCAGCAGTTGGCCTTCATTCTCTAGTGGCCCATAGGACATGACCTAATTGTCCTAACGGATAAAGTGTCCCTGGATCTCTCTAATTTTCCAGGGATTTCATAGAATACCAGTGCACAGTCAGAACACAGCTCTCGAGGTCTTTTCCTTAACACAACAAGGGCATTTTCTCTTGATCTATTAGGTACTTTCCTGGCAATATTTAAGCTACATTTATTACAATAAGAGGTATAATATTTCTATTCCAGTGAAAAACCTGATAATATAATATGCTCTTGAATATTCTCAATCAATATAGGTAGAAAATTAAATTCTAAAAGTGTGCATACTCAATAAGATTTCCCTCAAATTTCCTGAGATATCGCTCACATCTCTCATAAATCTCCTCAGATTTCCCCGAATATCCCCAGATCTCTTTAAGATTTTCCTGAATTTTCTCCAGGGTTGGCACACACAAAATCCCATTTTGGAAATTCAGTGGGTTTTTTGACACAATAACCCACCCTCAATATTGACAAAAACCCAGTGGGTTTTTTATGTGAAAAACTCATACATAAATAATTATTAACGGCCTCAAAATGGAAAAAAAATTATCAAAAAAACTCATCCCTGACCACAGATATCAATCGAAAATCTAGGATTATTCCGAGTAATATGAAGAATTTTACTGGGTACCAACAATAAGCTAAACTATTAAAATAATTTCCGTATTCCAGGCTCTTGATCTGTTTTAAATGTTCATAATTTAGTAGTCTGAAATAAACAACATTTGTAGTGAAAACTCAGTATGAGAAAACTACTCCACTGCACCAACATTCTTGTTCTGGATCTGAGGAATTCAAATTCCAGAATAACCAAAATTAAATAAAGCCATCCAAACTAAACACAAATGTATCTGAAGTATTGTTCCTATACACCAACACTTTTTCTATTCTGTCAAAGTTTGTTGAATTCTATGCTGGAAGTCTGCTTAAACAACCAGCTGTTATTTTAGTAATAGAGTTCTGGCTACACAAGGATCTTGATGCAATGGTAGGAATACCAAATTATTTTTTATTTCGAAAAGAAAAGACAGAAAAGGGGGTAGAGCTATAATTTATGCATGTGAAAGTATTGCAGGTGTCAAACCCACAGTAACATTAAACCAGAGATTCCAACCCTGATTCTCTCCAGATTTCTCCAAACCTCGCAAGATTTCCCTGAAGAGTTTTGGATATCTCCTGCAGGGTGTACACAGAATATCTTGTTGTGAATGACGGTTTTGATGGGTAATAAAAACCCAAAATAAAATATTTATCATAGTGCATTTTACATAGTAGATTTTTGTATTGTGATGATGATGGTATGTGGAATATCTTTTTTTAATTTTCGTTTAGGAAATCTAAAACTCCAGAAGCCCCCCCTGACCAAAAGAAAAATAAAGACAACACTGCTAGTCAGAGTCCCATGAACCAAAGAATGCTCAAAATAAGAAAGACATTAAGTTCTAGTGTTAGCAGCTTAAAAACAAAGATAGTGAATGTATCTGACAAAATACAGGCTGGAGAAATGAATAGGTGAGTTTGGATAAATATAGAAATAGAAATTTCTTCAATATTGTATTGAATAATATTTTAGCTTAGTTAATATTTCTCCTAATAAAAGTTTTAAAATACCTCTAAAAAAAAATCTACCTCACACAGAAACATTTGATTCACCCAAGGACACAGCAACTAGAGGTGATTCTGAAGTAAGCTATATTACCTGAAATATTTACTTAGTTTTTAAAACCTATATATATATTTAGGTAAAAACAAAACATCTCAATGAAACTCCCAAAGAAACTATTTCCCCAACATATCAAACTAATATTTTTGCTACAAATAACAATGATAAAGCCTCACCAAATAAAATGGTATAAGTTTTGCAATTGCTTTTGAACCAAATATACTTAAAAGATGTATTTTTTAGCAACCGAAGACTCCAACTTTTAACACTAATATTTTTGCCTCCAATAAAATAGAGTCTCCACCTGTAAAGAATATTTCTCCCCTTAACACTAATATTTTTGCCTCCAACAATATAAAAAATGTGATGGAATCTCCAGCTCTGAAACCTACTTCTACCTTTACAACTAATATTTTTGCCTCCAACAATATAAAAGATGTGATAGAGACTCCAAATCTGAAACCTACTTTGACTGATATTTTCGCCTCCAATAAAATAAACGAAATTAAATCGCCAGAATTCAATTTTGAAAGTAAACGATCTTCATCTCCAAAAGAACACGTGCAAAGCAAAAATGCAAACATTTTTGCCAGAGAGTCTCTTGGTGATTTTAATGAAACAAACAGTGATGTTGATTGCTCCTTAGAGATTATAGAGGAGATTACATCTCCTTGTGCCTTTAAAACTCCAATTTCAACCAAGACTGTGGGTAATAAATCAAATTCAATAGGAGACAGGTAAAATTTTGCCTTCTAAAAAATATTAAATTATAGAGAATAATTTCAGAATGAAAAAAATCCGTGGTCAACTACAAAATGCAGAAGCTAATAAATCAGTTGATAACGATTTTGGATTCGTCAGTCAAATGTCCTTTGAAGAATTGTATAAAAACTCACAGCCTAGCTGCTCTAGAACTACAGTGGTTCAAAATTGGATGGAGAGCATACAACCAACTCCTAATCTTAGTGACCAATCTGCAAGTGATTCTATGTTGGTGAATTTTGATAATACCCTCCTTGAAAAAAGTGAACTTTTGGCAGTTTCACGAGAAGATAATTCTATGGAATGGGACGTGAGTGTGGCTTGGTTTTGCAAATTCATATATATTTTTCTTGAAATTATTTTAGTCTATTCCTGACGTACCACCAAGCAGATTCCCCACTGATTCTTCTTCTATCGAAGAAAATCATAAGGACAAATCCATTTGCGTTGTAGCAGATACCAATATATTTATGCACGATTTAGAGCGTTTGGATACAATTTTGAATTTGAAACTTCCAGGAGACAAGAAATTGATCATTTATGTGCCTTGGATGGTTTTAGGCGAACTGGACAATTTGAAAGAGGCACGTTCGAATATTTTTAAAACGTTTGCTACCCAAAAAGCGCTTAAAGGTCAAAGGTTTATTAATAAACATTTGGCTCAATCGAATTCAAAGATAATTTGTAAGTATTGACTGGATTGTATGTGTAAAATCCTCCAACTTATTGTCTGTACTCCAAAAGATTTTGACTTCCATTGAAAAATTTCCCTTACTCCCTTATGTCAACATCCCACCTGTATTTTATCAGCTCTGAAGGTGTAAATAATCCAAATTATAGTTGATTTCAAAATTGACTGTGTACTATTTACACACTGTTTTGTTTGTATACCAAAGACTGGCAACATCTCTATTGTTATTGATACAAATTACCACTTTTTAGGCCAGTCTGTTAATGAAGTATGCCAACAATTAGATTTAGGAAAAAGCCCAGATGATAAAATTTTGGCTTGTTGCTTACAAGTTCAAAATAAATATGAAACTGTGGTAATTTAAATAATATACTAAACAATGTTGCTGTTTAATAATTATAAATATTCCAGATATTGCTAACTGGTGATATAAATTTACGTAATAAAGCTTTGGCCAATCAGGTGAAAAGTTACCCCCCTTCTGAGATTGTGGAAAGATTGGAAAACAGCAAGTTTTTCAAAATAAAAGTATTATGTCAAGAAGTTTTATCGGATGTAATTAGCAGGTGTTGTTGGAATGTTTATGGCGAAGCAATTCATAGAATGAACGCCTTACAAGTAGGACGTTGGGGCTTTGAGGACTGCATTGCCAGGTTTTATTGATGTATTTTTTCTGTGTGCAAATATTATTGTTTCTTTTTTAGGTTGAAGCAATATTGGCAACCAGTATTTTCACAGTTGTTGTTGAAACATTGCTTGAAAACTATAGAGGAACTTGCAAAACTTTCCAGAAAAGGTTCAGAGATTGAAACCAATCCCAAAGAGTTTATGAACTTTGTTAATAAAGTCAAAGAACTGCTTTTTTATCTGCAAGATATTGACTATTTTAACTCAGTGGTTAAGCAATTACGGGACAATATTGACGAGATTGTAAAAGCTCCAAAGGAGTTTTAGAATTAGACTGACTTTGATTAATTTTCGTTTTTTATTGATTTTGAATTATTGTTGAATTCAGTTGTTTATTTGTCTTTTTATAATCCAACATAATTGATTTATTTCTGTTTTTTATTGATTCTGGAATTAGGCCAAATTTAGTTTCATATATAGTGTATTTTTATAATGTTTGAACCAAAGTTGGTTGCAATAAAAAAGTTTTGAATTTTCAGAAATTGTTTTTAGTCGATTCATTAGTGCAACCAAAACAATTCTTCCATGACCTCGAGAACATATTGCTGAATATTACTTGGCCCCAGAGTACAGGGTGTCCAAGATTCGATGGTTTTGGAGATTTCGGGTACTTCTAGAGGAGGAAAAGATCGGACCCCCACTTGCGAGCCTCAATTTTCAAGAGAAATTGGCTGGTGAAAACCGCGTCTCGATATGTCGAGGAGTCGTCTTTCGAGGAGTTTTTGAAAAGTTTGCAGTTTAGCAGGAGATCTATAACTTTTTTATTTATGAAGATTCTGTCAACTTTTCCCCTTGTAGCTTAAAAACGAATTGTGATACTGAGATGCGGGTTTCACGGGTCTACTTCTCTTCAGAATCGAGGCTCGCAAGTGGGGGTCAGATTTTTTCCAATTCCTCTAGAAACCCGTCAAAACTATCAAATCCTGGACACCCTGTATATTCTTAAAATTATAAATAACTTGTCCTAAAAATTGACATCTCATATCCATTCGTACCTTGTAAAGGAAGACCATTTTCTCTTAGTCGTGATAGAACGTTTGTTACGGAATTGAGTTGTATAAATAGTTTTTTTATAATATGTTAATTAACTGATAGAGTGATTGAAAGTTGAATAAACATTGTTAAAATAAAAATATTGCCAATTTAAGAAGCCGATGTTTGTATAAAATACGTATGTCCTTGCTTGATTCATAAGTATATATGAGTACCTAATTATAATAAAATAAAAGTTCACCTACATACTACTACATACTACATAGGTCTAAAAAAACAATTAGAGCATGAATTATAGAGAAATATGTTCAAAGTTTGATGTACAATAGGTTCCAATACTAAGAAATGCCCAGAACCCAAGATATTCCCGTCTGAAAATCACTCTTTTGAATCCCCCATAAGAAATACATTGCTGTCAAATTTGTTGAAATGTGTTTAGGAACCCATTTTAAATTTCGCGCTCGATTTTTCTTAACCTAACTAATATGGTCAATTGTCAACTCATCAATGTCTACAAGCCCACAGACTATAAAAATAAAATGAATTTGGCGTTTGTACTACAGAAAATTAACTGACTGCTGACGGTAGCAATAATTCTTGTATAAACTACGCGCACTGCAATGCAGTCGGGCAGAGGTTAGTCTCCACAGTCTTAAGCTTCTCGAGGGTACAGGCATAAAGAGACTTTCTCTCCAAGTTGGGTGTGACTTGCTACAGTACGACTAAGATCCTAAGATGAAGGTCAAACCTAGACCTATGGAAACTAAGCTCCTCGAGGGTACATTTAGTATATGTATTTCAAGGGAATGTTAAATGATGGCCCACCAGGAAAGAGCATTTACTGCGATCTATTTTTGCTAAACCCTATTTATTCATCCCCTACATCAATTAGGGTCTAACAATAGATGTATTAACTACTAGTGGTGGAATCTTTCCTTTCCCCATATAACCTTTTTTCAGGATAAACCCTTTTCCGACGCAGCCAAGTGTAGATAAAGTGGTGGTACCTCTTACCACAAACAACCTAAGTGTGACAATATTACTATCTTTTCAAAATAAAGAAACATTTATTTGTTGAAAAAATTATTAACAAAACATATCAAAAAAGAAAACCTAAATTTAATTCTATGTGGTCTCTATGTTTTTCCTTGGGGCTGGTTGATCAGTCAAAATATTAACAATCCCCTCAAATCCATCATATATCTTGAAGTCAACATTCAAAATATTCCTGACTTTCAAAGTATTTTGCACTTCCTGTTGTCCCATTGCAACACGAATGGCTTCTTCTTTGGTTAATTTGATCAAATCCTTTCTTGGATATTTCACTGTACAATTTTCATAGCCATTCACTTGACAAACCAGGTCTAGTTCATACTCCATATCAGTTTCAGGCCAATTTTGCTCCAATACGTTTTTGTCCCAAAGAATTTCTCCTGAGTTATTGAGTCTGTTCGGGGCTGATACAAAACCTGCCCACAGCTCAGAGGCAAAATGAGGTGCTAAAGGAGCTAGAAGAATAATTTGAGTTGCTAAGGCTCTTTCAAATTGAAGACTGTGACTAAAAACTGCTGGAGGAGCCCTCTAAAAAATCATAATCATATATAAAAACAACTTGGAAATTCAATATTATAATAATTTACCCTAATACTGTTAGTTAACCCTTGTTGTTTAGAGACAGCAACGCTTATTTGCTGAGAGATCACGTAATTAAATGAAGCTCCTTTAATATAATAGTTTCTTGAATCCCACAAATAATCTTCTTGGGCTTTGAATTTGTCTTCGGCGATCATTTCTGGGGGGCTTTCACGGTGCTTTATAAAATCTTTTATCGTCAACCAAAGACGTTTTTGCCAGTTGATAATACCAGGAAACGCTACAATAATTGAAGTGATTTTGGCATTACAATTTATAGTTGCTTACTATTTGAATTCCAATTTCTATGCGATGTAGGGGCTACATCCGCTAAAATAAGCAGTCTAGTAGTGTCAATTCCATACTCCCTAAACATATCTTCTGGATCTACACCATTATGTTTTGATTTGCTCATTTTTTCCCACGATATTACAACAGGTTCTTCAGTATCTTTGGCAATTGCTTTATTCTTTTTCAAATCTGTTAATATTATTTTTTTTTAGTGTTAAGTTATTGGGGTTGTCTAAACCTTACCTAGAATTTTAACTTTATCTTCAGGAAGATATTGACCACTACCTTTTACTCTATAGCTACGACCCATTACCATGCCTTGTACTAAAAGTCGTTTGAATGGTTCTCTTTCAGGTAACAGACCCAAAGAGTGCAAAAAATGACTAATAAATCTTGCATAGTATAAATGAAGAACAGCTAAAAATGCCTGATTCAATTACATATCAGTATCAGAAACATACAAATATTACCATGTTCTTTTCCTCCAATGTACAAATCAACAGGCATCATTTTGGAAGCTCTATCCTTATCAAACATGTCTTTCAGATTATTTGGATCTAGATACCTTAAAAAATACCAGGAGCTATCCACAAATGTATCTAAAGTATCTGTTTCCCTTTTAGCAGCATTGCCACATTTAGGACATGAAGTATTCACCTAGAAAAATTATAACTTATGATATTTCTTGAATGGTATTCAATACTTACCCACTCAGAAATATCTTCCAAAGGTGACCGTCCTCTATGTGAAAGTTTATCTAGTTTGGGTAACTTAACAGGCAAATTTTCACGATTTACTGGAACAGTACCACAACTTTTGCAATGTATCATTGGTATAGGCGTTCCCCAATACCTTTGCCTTGAGATTAACCAGTCTCTCAGCTTAGCACTTGACCAATAACCTCCTGCATTTATTTTATTTGCTTTTTCACAAATTTCTTTTTGTTTCTCTTCAACTTTATCAGTGAAATAATTTTTTTCAAATAATATGTTGTGTTTAGTAGCAAAATTAGCTGATTTGTCACATATAGATGGGATACCTTCAAAAATCGACTAATCAGGAGGATTCAAGAAAACTTACAAATAAATAAGACTCACCAATGAAACTATCAGTGTGTTCTAGAAACTCAATTTGGTCTGTTACAAATACAGGAAGTAATTTATTATTAAAAGGATTAACAAGGTTACATTTAAGCTGCACTGTGCCCTCTTGTACCTTAATACTGTCTTTTTGTGCTAAAATATGACTGTCTTTGATAGCAACAAAGCGAGCATCCTCAATAAACTCTGGAGTTGAAGTCCAAAATGTTACAAAGTTATCTGAATTTTGGATTTTAAAATTAAAATTAACCCCATTACATTCGCCTATCCAATGCTTTTGAAGTTTGATTATATCGCGCCAATCTTGCAATATTGAATCATTTAAACCTTCATAGAGTGGTTGGGCAAATTTTGTGGTTCTTATAAACCATTGTTTTAATAATTTTTTTTCAACTTTTGCTCCGGATCTTCAATAAATTTTATTACCGTACACATTTGTGAATAAAAAGATTATAAAATACCTCCAAGAGCACCCATTTTCATCAACTTGTTCATCAGCCAAAACAGTTTGATCCACGGGATCCCAATTAACCAAAGCTTCTTTCTGGTAAGCCAACCCAGCGTCGTACAGTTTTAAAAACAGCTCCTGAGTCCAGCGATAATATCCTGGATCACAAGTTGCTAATTCTCTATCCCATTCAAAACTACAGCCTAATTGTTTAAGTTGCTGTTTCATACGAGTTATATTTTTATTGGTCCAGTCTTCTGGAGCTAGTTGCCGGTCTATGGCAGCGTTTTCTGCTGGGAGACCAAAAGCATCCCATCCTATTGGATGTATTACCTTTAAATTAGAGTGATTGTATCTTATACCTATGTGTATTTTCACATATTATTGGGAAATATGGATAAGGAGCAGTACATTGTTTATACAAATTGTATGTGTGTTAAGTAGGGTGAGTATTGTACCAAAACTGATTGTGAACAAGAGCTGCGAGATATCATCCTAAACCAACATAAATGATTCTTCTAATTGTAATTAATGATCTAAGACTAAGTTCTTACATTTTTACCATTCATCCTTTGATATCTGGCTACAGTGTCACTAATGGTATAGACTCTAACATGCCCCATGTGCAAAAAACCTGATGGATATGGGAACATTGATAAGACATAATATTTTTCTCTCGACTCGTCTTTGTCGTCGAAAGGTTTTTCAGTTATTTTATCTTTCCAGTGGCCTTCTATTTGGTGTTTGATTTCCGAGGAGAGTTCTTCGTTCTTTTAATACATGAATATGAAAATATGTGGAAAGTTTCAAGAAAACAACTTACCCATAGTCCTAGGCTCGATATAAAACGTTTTCTCAAAGAAAATTGCTTATTTATCAAAAGTTTCAACTTTATATTTCTTAAATATAAGAATTTCATGACTAGTTAAATTGATAAAATGATTCAAAATTTATAAATTTAAAACTTTATTTTGCTTTTGACAAAAACATAACCTAAAAAAACTAAACTAACAGCAAATAGGGCAATCCAACGACTTGTCAAAATGGAATTCAAAATGGAGGCCAATGCCTTTTTTCTACTAATAATTTCTTAAGGTTTAAAGTCGGGCCTATAGTTTATTACAGCAACGCGAGATGTCAATGCTGTCGCCCCTATAGTGTGCCCTAACTTGACTGTCAGAAAAAAAATAGAAATCTTCATTTGGTTAAATTGTGTGATGTAACGTTTTTTCTTTTTTTGGCGGAAATTCGTTACATAAACAGGGTTGTAGTTTCGACCAACGCACATAATTTTGAACGTTTATCCGTCGGATTTTTTCCTAAACAGTGTAGTTACGGGCGTATTTCCAACTATTTTTGCAGTAGCGAGAAAACTACAGGTTCAAAAAATTTGAAAAAAATATATGTCGCGTAGAATTGCAATAGTAATTCGTAAGAAAAATAATGGGAAACTTCATCTATTCGTTTTGAAATAAATGGTGAAAAACTACTTTATATCGATAACCATAAAACATATATTTTTTTTGGAATTTTTGAACACAAGGTTCAGAAAATAGGGGTTGACTTTAAACCTTAAACTAAAAACTTTCCATCTTAGAATACGAAAATTATCCTCTCAAACACTAGAAAATCATCTTAAAAGCACCACAAAATACACAAATAACAGTTTTTTGATGAAAAATGTCACGATTGCTTGAATTAAATTTATGGCGCCAATTTTTTGGCATTGGCCATGCATTGACCACCATTTTGTTTGGATTGCCCTATTATGTCATAGAGTTCACTGATTCGTAACTACCTATGGGTAAAAAAGAGACAGAAGTATTATAGGATTAATTAGCCTAGGTGCCCGCTTTTAAATGATCATCAAATATCTTTCAATTCAAAAACTGTACCTAAGGTCTGTTTTTTTTTTACCTACGAGCGTGCGGTAAAGTGCACTTTACCGCACTTATTTGCAAATGGAAAGTGGCACTTTACCGCACAATTTGCGTATGCATGTATTTCAAAAAATGTATTCATTTCTTTTATACAGGGTGTCCCAGGGAGAACATAGTCCATCTCGATTTATTGGATTTGGAATGAGAATCTGGAAAAACGCTCGGACACGTCGATTTTTGATTTGAGGGGGAACCATTGTTCAGTTTTTTTAACCCTTGTAGTTTTAACCCCCTAGCTGGGGTGAAACGACCCCCCAAATTTGAATAGGGGATAAGGGTTGTGTCCTACCTCTTTTTAAAGGTCTCATCGAGTTCTTTATGGCCTTAGATTTTCGTCTTATCATTTTCATCCGTAACGAAATGGAAATAGACTATTGTTTTAGTGGGAGTAAAAGCGATACCTACCTCCCCTTATTAAAAATGCTTGAAATTGAAGTTTTTTATCATTCATTATTATTAACCCTCGGGCAGGCGTGCTATCGGCCTTTTATATGCCGCCTTTTATATGCCGCCTTTTTACTAATTCAGGGATTCCGCAAATATTGTGGATTTTATCATATTGTCCGTCTAGCTATGTTCAAATGACTAATATCAGTAAACCTACTACGCACAATTTACGACCTTAGAGCGCTTGTTCAGATGTCAGAGTTCTTGAACTTGCAGGTGTTAAGTTTTTGGCATTCCGTGCCGCCAGCGCGCCTGGTCAAGTAAGTAAAATTACAAGGGGAATAGTAAAAATATTATGAATATTATTTTTGCGTTTTTGCGAAATTAGTATAAAGGATTTCATTCATTTGCCTAGAATTACAATTTATTTTATTTTTTTACTCTATTAAAAAATAAATTTTGATGTTTTGAATTATTTCGTATGTTTTTCTGCTGGCGGCACGCAGTGCCGCAGCGCGCCCGCTAATGTGATTTTCAAATGCGCGCCTGCCGTAGGGTTAATCAGGTTAAGGTTTCCATACGTCCGGATTTACCCGGATATGTTTGGGTTTTTAGGGTGTCCGGGGAAGTCCGGCGGGAATTTGCAACAATCCCAGACGGCACAAACATATTGCAGGAATATTTATGGCATATTTCATGGGAATATTGAGATATCCCATTCATATGCCATGCAGATCTATTCATATGACAGGGATATCCCAAGCATATGCTGAAGTCACCATGAAACATATCCCTGCAATCTGCCACATATATGACAATTGGATATTGAAATATTCACTGAATATCCAATATCCCTAAAGAATGTCTGATGAATATTCCATGCACATTATTTAGATATACACGGAAAACCCTCCCTGGTGTACCCCCTCAAAATTGACCCCTCGACCCGTTCTCCAGTCCCATCCATACCTGAAAAAAACCTTTAAATTTGTCAAAATGACGAGTGTCCTTGCGAGGATTCACATATTTTAACTTTTTTATTCCGTTAATTCTTCTGAATTTTGAGGTTAAATATATTGGAATTGGTTCACTATATGCACAAACAGCTTACATGTCCTATGTCCTATCTCTAATTCAGATTATCTATCAATTTTCATCAAAATGAGTCATTTCCAGATTCTCGACCAAAAATGCGCTAATTACGGTTAAACTAGAAGTATTTGATTTCTATGGAAATACATTCATACCTAATTCAAAATAAGGACATGGATATATGTAGGCCGCTTGTCACTAAAACAAACGGATTTCGGAATGCTCCTCAAAATTATGTATTTAATTAACTTTCGAACAAAAATCACAAAAACCAACATAGCCACTAGCACTGAGCACTGCAGGCACCAGCCGGCACTCGGCCGGCAGCCACGTGCCAAACAAGAAAGAAATGGCGTCACCGTAGTGCCATCACGTGACGCTGGTGATGCGTTGTGGTTGGCTCTCTCCTTGTTCTCTGCTCTGACGTCAGCGAGGCGTCATTTGAATTGCTGGAGCGATGGCAATAATGAACATATTTGAAATGAAATAACAGTTAAACAAATTGTTTATAATAGTCTTCTTTCCAAAACGTAGCGAAGGTATAAAATTTTAAGCGCTCAAAAACATGTAGAAAATAAATTTCTCTAATTTTATAAAATAATTATGTAAAAATCTTCCTTTCGCATATTCAAGGAATATTATGCATACATGATATTCACGGCATATCCTATAAGTACATACCTGGGATATCCTAAATTAATACAGAATATTACAAATATGCTAGGGATATTTCTGGAATATTGCAATATGCCTGGGAAAATTGGGAGTTTGTAGGCATATACCAGCAATATTGGGTGCCGTCTGGGATGTCCTGAAAACTCGCAGATCGTGAAAATACTCATACTGAACAGACTGAAAATCACCTTTTCTACATTTAAAATCGACGAAAAAATTAACTCACTAGCACAGCCCAGGGGCGGATGGGCAACTTTGAATCGGCCCGGGACGGTTTTTGCTCAAGCGGCCCCGCGCACTCACAGGAGGTGAATAACACTGGATAGGATATTAAATAGTCTCCTTTTTTAGAAAAAAAAAACCTCCTTATATTACTCAAAAATACGAAAGTGTAGAGCCATGCTGATAGGTATTGTAAAATATTTTCATGTCCTAGTTTACACTTTTTCTGTTTAATCAGACATTACCAAATTTAAGTACCGCAATTTGGGTTAGTTCGCAATTTTATTCAGACATTACAGGTCTATGTTTATTTTTCGAAAACAAAAATTGCGATTTTTTTTTCTGAATGCTTTCATTTCAAAAATCAACCATTTGGAACATATTGACTTTGAATAACTTCTTTCGAAAATGAATAATTTTGAAGCATGTCCAAACTAACCGGGTTATTATTGGTAATGTCTGATTGAAATAGCAAACTAAACCCCAAACTAACCAGGAACATCGGTAAGTTTAAAAATTTCTGTTTAAAATTGAAAACTAACCCAAACTAACCGGTTATTCTCGGTAGGTTTGAGTTTGGTAATGTTTGATTACAATAGATTTCAAACTAACACAAATTTTGAAAACAAAATGGTTATGTTCGATTGAAATTGCAAACTTACCCAAACTAACCGGGTTATTATCGGTAAGTTTGGTAATTTCTGATTGAAACTGCAAACTAACCCGGATTATCATCAGTAAGTTTTAATGTTTGATTACAATTGCAAACTAACCCAAACTAACCGGGTTAGTAATAGTAAGTTTGAAAATATCTTATTGAAATTGCAAACTAACCGGGTTATTATCGGTAATGTCTGATTACAATCAGTGCCAGCCCGAGCCTACTTTCAGGATGGAGCGAGATCCGACTTTGGCGTCCCTCTCGGCGCCCCTAATTAAAATGTGAATCTTTTGCATATGGATTTTGACCATTGTTATACCTAGATGTCTCTAACTATCTTATCAATTGAAATTTGAAAACATCCATGTTCATTGGTATCAATGGTATCGATAAAACCAAATAAGAAGAAGCCACCGCGTGATCTTTTGTCTCACATCAAATGGGAGGGCCTCTAAAAAATTTGCCTTCTTCTTCAGTGATGACGTCAGGGGCTCTTCTTAGTTGGTTCTAACTATACCGTCTATACCCACTTTTTACCTTTTAAGAGTTGATTTAAAGTAGACACACAAATAATGGAAATTTCTACGGTAATATCACTTATCAACACTCTGCACGATTTATTCATCTTCACATAAACTTACTCTTAACTATCTCCAAGATAGATATCAACCTATAATCTATTGGTCGGCAAATAACTAGCCGACTAATGGAATTGCAGATACAGTTTTTGTCCGTCAGATTGCATTAGGTACCTGACTCTGACAGTTTGTTAGAAGGTGAATAAACCGGCTCTTATAAATATAAAAATCGTACCAGCAAAATACAAAATTGTAGGTGAGTCGCTGTTTGCTCATTTTTGCATTTGCAAATTTGTTCATAATCCTCTTATATAACAATTCTGTGCTATATGAGTTTCAATGGACAGCAGGGCTAGATCAGAAAGTATGTTTTCTGCTAGAATTGACTTAAGGTATGTTTTAGTTATGTTAAGTTTAAGTAGTAAGCTACGTTCACCCTTTCGCCACAAGAATGGCTACAAAAATAGGGAGAGCTCGAGTCGAGAGCTGTCTAGATATTAGGAAACGTATATTGCCAATTATTCAATGCTAAGTTCTGGAGTACTGAGAGGTTCTTCAACCACAGATTTTTTTTTTTTTTTTTCAGGGCCGGTTTATTCATTGTTTTATGAACTGTCAGGTAGTGCAATCTGACGAACAAAAACGCAATCTGCAATCCTGTTGGTCCGCGTTATCCATCGACCAATAGAAATAGATCGGTGAATTTATCTTGTAGACAGTTAACAGCAAATTCTTCTTGAACATCAATAAACCGGCCCTTAAAAGTTCTA